TTATCATTTTTGGTAATCAATGTTATTTATGTATGCAGTAAACTAATGTTACTCCCAAATGGGGAGGAGTTCTGGAGAAAAAGTAGGTGTGTCTCAATTGAGGGTGTGTAGTGATATACTGTAATACAGTACTCAAGTGCAGTACTTTACTGTGCTTAGAAAAGGAAAACATTCTAAGTATGTAGTAATGTATTCTCATATTGTGGCTCAGTGAAAGACTTGTATCATAATAGTGAACAAACATCCTGTATATTTCAAAGGCAAATAATTTGCAAAATTCAGGGCATTTTTGTTTTGCCTTTCAATTACATAATACATTTTTTATTACAATTTCGTAGAGAAGGACTAGGGACCCATTACATATGTTTCCTCCACAGTTATTAGCCATTCAAAATTTAACATTTTATTTTTATTTATTTATGCTTTATCTTATTTTTATCTAATTATTTTTAGATTCTGGAGGAAGTTTCGGATGGTCCCAACAGTCCCCATTAATGCTTCCACCTTCATCAAACCAAGACCCCTGGGATGAACCACCTCAAAACCTAGTGGGCTACATTCCAAGGGTTGTCAGACCTGCTTCTCCAGGAATTCCTTTGACATATTCTTATGGAGGAGGAGCACCCATGAGCGGGGTTGTGTACTCCAAGGATGCCCAAGTACGAAACACCCTTTTTAAAATTTAATTACGAAAATCTGGGAATGTTATTCAGGAATTGAAATCAGAAATTTAGGCACGAAGGAGCTGATGACGATGAATTCGACGATAATGCAGCTGCTGACAACTATGGACTTTTGGAAAGATCAGCTTCAGAAAAGGTGATCTTTGAAGATTTTTCAAGGAACAATTACATAAATTTAAATTTAAAACCTCCAATTTTTTTATTGACGGCGAATTTAAATCAAGTTATTTCAAAGGATTGCCAATTTCATTTTCTCGGCCCACATTTAAAATTCAGTTTTCAAATTCACTGTCGAAAAAAATATCAAATCCGAGTTTAAGATTGTTTTTACTAAATACGCCGTAAACTTTTGAACGACTCTTATTGACTTGATTTTGAATTTTGAAGGACTTGGAGAATTTTGCGTCGAGTTGATTTTCGTGCCTTGCGACGAATAAAAATTACCAAGATTATGAATTCTTTCAAGAAGGTTATCAAATTTTCCAGTAGCGATCGAAATTTATTTCAAAATCGCTCCTCGTATTTTATACTGGTGTTGAAAATTTTCGGTTAAATTGAAAGATAGTGACATAACCATTGCACATAGTTCAAAAAGTCTATACAGTATTATTCATTTGATGTCACAGCAGCTGCAAAATTTCAAATTATTCCCGCAGTTTAACATTAATAAAAAAATCTGATCGCAATAAATTCATATTAAATTTGACTGGAAACCGTAATCGTTTAATCGAATCTATATTTCAAAGGACTGGAGGAATTCTGCGAAACCTGGATACAAGAAATCCGCTTCGGTAAGTGCTTCATTTTAAACAAAATTGAAAGTACTCAAACCTTTCTTTTTTATCTCTTCGTTAGTCCGAAGAATTCGAACTTCCGTACGAACTACCATCAGACATCGATGCCTATTCACCGAGAGTCGACCCTTTCTTGCCAACACCCATGGATTTCCGTAGCAAATCTCTCGCAGGATCAGAACTCCGTTGAGTACCTGTATTCACACGTTTATACAAACTTAACTCAAGACATTCTTTCTTAAATTTTGATTAATTATTGTTCAAAACAGTGAAAAACCCGATGCCGAAGGGCAGCAAATCCTTGAACTGCTACAAATGCGGGTACGCGTGCAACTCGAGGATCGGAGTGCCTGTGATTTGCAACAGTCCTTTGGAGCAATGTGCGACTTTCTATGACCCACAAACACTAGGTTGGTATCCCTTCAAACATCATGTTTTTTCCATCTTTTGTACTGTATTAAGAAAAGACATTTTTAAAATTGACACGAGTCTGACGAATTGGCAGAGGTGAAAAGCCGGGCTTGTCGCTTGGGACCAACTGGCTGCTTTGTGTCGGATGACGGAAAATACGGCTGCCAATGTTCAACATATTTGTGCAATAATTACAAAATGTTTAAACGAATCGTTGGCAAACCATCGAAAAGCNTGCAAAAATAATATAGCACAAAAATTACTCATTTCATTCTTTCCGATCAAAACCAATTTTTAATACAGCTCTTTTCAACTTCAAATTGACAGCAATTTATATTTCTGAACAAATCATAAGACGCATTCAGTTGATTTCACTGTGCTATATTATTTATTTTCAATAAAATAAAATACGTACATTTTCAATTTGGTGTAAGCTTCGAAGGCTTTAATTTAAAATAAAGTTTTTGCACCGAAAAAAGAAACATTTCAATTCGTAAAAAATGAATCAGATTGAGAAATTTTCCCCAAATTTCTCAGACGTGACTGCGAGAGGCTGCAAAATCAACGGTGAACCAGGCTGCTTTTTAACTGAAGATGGTGTTTATGGTTGTACTTGTAAATCCCAGCTTTGCAATGACTTCAAAATGTACAAGGTAACTGGGAGAATTTTCAATGAACTGTTCGAGCCGTCTTCCAAGGGTGGCAAAAAAAGGTGAGCGTTCATCGTCAATATACCAGGAATATATCAAGTTTTCAACAAAATGTAAATTTTAGACAATTTTTTCTATAGCGACACTTGAGGAATAAATGACCATCTGCGCATGAGCATTTTTATGGGTTCTTGGTCCGATATTCAGGAACCGACAAAGCATAATTAATTAGTCATGCATAGAAATAGGATTCCCTCTCTGAATCAATTTTTACTTTTTTCTCTGCACTCGAAAAATTCTGCTTTCACTGCCGAACGCTGATGAATATGATCAGGTGGTGCTTTTGCTCATGTAACTCGTAATTTAAAAAAAAAACTGCTCCAGGGAAGGTTTCAAATCATTTAAACTTGCCAATCATCTTTCTGTTCTTTCATACAATTAATCATAAGGTCAGAGCATAAGGAAACAAATTTATAAAAAAAAAATCAAATTTATTCTAGATATTCAAATTTTTTAAAACTTGATTTGCTATGAAAGGCTAAAACTTTGAGCTTTAGCCTTCATTTAGGCTCCGCAACAAAGAGAACCACTTTCAACAAATGTATAATATACATTGAAAGGCTGAATTTTTTGTAAAATATTGCATTTTTGAGCGTATACTGTATAGAACCTTCTTTCTACAGAAACTTACTAATTTTGAAACTATTTGTGGAATTCTTCACAATTTTTCACAAATAACCCAAGTGTTATCCAATGAGTTGACTTCCAATACAGAAACATACATTTATTCAAATACAACAGTAGACACACTTTTTAAATAATGTACAAAATTAAGAGAGGAGGGTACCCCAGCAAATAATGGGGGTGTTGAGCTGTGCAATGTTGAGGAAATGGCCTGCCAATGGGTTCTGCAACGCATTCTATCAATGGTTGGGATTTTGAGCCAAGCATGCACCCAAGTGGGCATACAAATGCTAAAAATTTGAGAATTTTACATGTTTGTCTGGATTGTTTTTATGTCCAATGTACAGTATTGAAATTTGTCATCTAATGGAAATAGCACGTCTGCCTTACGTGGGGATAAGTTTTTAGTTTATGCTGAAAATTTGGCACATATGTCTTACTCAAGGGCAAGTGGTACTCAAGTGAATATGGTAACCTTTATACAAGAATGGTCTCAGTCCTATGTAAACTGCTGAATTTTTTAGTCTATGTGTGATTTGAAAAAAACATAGCCCATGATGTTCTAATGTTCTGGAATTTTTTTCCAGATTTTATAAAAAAATTCTATTTACTGCTTGATAAGTGAAAACTTCCCAGTTATAGCCAGAGTTCTCCACCCATGTCACAGGTCATTCAAAATTTCTCAGGCTAGCTAAAAAGTGTATTTTTTCAGTTTTTCAATTAATTTTTTGGCTTTTTCAATCTGCTGGCCAGAGAAATTTTAGCAGGCTTGAGTTGAAAAGGTTTAAATGTTTTGTAATGCAATTCGATTTTTTGTTCGCATTTCAGAGTGGACCAGGAAACCTGTGACCCTTGCACCAAGGGTTGCAACAAACCCTGCCCACCCCCAGTTGTGCCAACTCCCCCGGGCCCAGAAACCTGCTGCAAGGCGAAAGCAAACAAGAAGAAACCCGATAAGCCCGGCATTTGTTGTCCCCCAGAGACGAAAAAGCGTCCCACTCAGTGCTGTTATCTGGACAATTTGCCAAAAAAGTACCGAGTCAAATACGCGCACCTAATCAGGGAAGCAGCTGGTTATTCATCTGCGAATCCCGTGTGTCAAAGTTCGAAAAGTTTCCTCGCTGCTGCTTCTGCTGCTGCTGCTGCTTTTGGTCTACTGGCATTTGCTTGAATCCTACAGTGATTTATTGAATTAAAACACCCATTTTTGTTTTGTGTCTTAATTAACGTTTTTTTTTTACCATACACGCACAGGGGGAATAATAAATGTGAAACTTTCAGTTCATTTTTCTTGGATTTGTTGGAAAAAATTTCGTTGAACACCCCTCCATTTTTGTTCTGTGGAATAAATTTCGTGGTTTTTTATTCATTTGGTTGACACCCGAATACAAATTAAATGCATACAAAGACACAGATACTAGCTCTTGTACTGTACAGATGTACTCCGGATATTGGACGCCTTGCAGAATGGTTTATATCACCATTTTGAAATGTAGTATTCTTTCCAAAATTTGCTCGGATTGGGAATTCCGTTGTGGGTGACAGACTGCATCAGAAAAGGTAATAAGAAATAAGCAGATTGTTCTTGAAAATATGGCCTCAGCATAATTTTCTGTGGTAAAAAGCTTTACTTAATCCATTTTATAGTGTTAGATTGTCGTGCATTTAATGCTGCTTTTGGAAATGTTTCAGGAATTTGGAACAAATTGGTTAATTTATTTACACAATTGAGAACCTTGTCACAAAAACCCTCTTGTGGAAACTGGAAAAAGTTTGTTCAGAATGCATTTTATTAAAATTGCTTTAAAAGGAATAATAGTAAATACTGTAGTTCTAAGAAAAGTTAAAATTCAACTTTTTAAATTACAGTATGAATACTTCACTATAAAAAATTCAAAAAAGTAAAACTCAGCTGAAATTAGCCAGGAATGCTTATCACATTAGTTGCTGTATTGTATTTTATTTATGCAAGAGGAAAACTTGTCACTAAAAGCCTCTTGGAGAAACTTGAAGATATATGTTTAAAAATGCATTACATCATCAAGATTAATTAAGAAAGGTAATAGTGGAAATTTCTGAGAAAAGTTTATTAAACCTTTAATAATTGGATATTTCAATGAAAAAAAAATTTGAAATTTTTAAATTGAAGCTGCTGGGAGAAATGCTGCTTTGGCTGATGCAAACACTTCCATTGCAGGTGGTACCTTGCTATTTGACCTCATGCAATTTGACCGTCCTGAAATGCAACAGCCAAATTTGCAGGGAAGTTGAATCACATTATTAGTTTGTGCATCACCAGAGCACCTTCTCTTCTTATGTCCAGCATTTCAAATGGATAGAAATCAGCTTAAGAAAGATTTAAAATTACTGAAATTCAATGAAGAGACACTTTCTGAAATCTTAAAGGATCAATATATTTTTGGCCTTATATGATGTATCTTCAAAGATTCTCTCTAAATTGTTCATTGAACTAAAACTCATACAGAAACAGGCTGAAGACCTCGTGCTTTAAATAAACTTTTACTGCTGCTTTTTCTTCAATATTGGGGATAGGTGGATGTATGCAGCATATGTGTAGGATGTCCAGTTTTATTTTATTTTGTGGAGTGTGTTCTCTTCTGTTTTTGTCATTGGTTCGTGCTTTGTTTCATGATTTGAAGTGATTGAATGTCTTGGGGGGAGTTGAGTTGGGTGGGGAGGGGGTTTGGATGCGGGAGTCTCGGTTGTGCCTTGTGAATGCTGAAAAGCAGCAAATAAAGTTTTCTGTTCATTCATTCATTCATTGAATCACAGTTTGACCCTTGCCCAACAATTTGGACCTGCTTTGGCCATTTCTTTGCTTTTTTGCATTGATATTTTCAAATTTCACAAAGTGTCCTGTAATGCTACTGCTTTGAAATTTGACCCAGTTTGGCTATGGATTTGGGTTGAATTGCGAGGTACCACATGTATACCATTCCTTACATACAATACATTCAAATGCCAAAAAATGAAGAATAAAACATTGGTAGTTTGTCATTTTACTGTCTTGGATTACATTTGAGTTAAATTTCTCAAAGTCAGTGCAATTTTCTTTCAACCCAACACGGTTTATATTGCTGATGGCCGATTTTTTCCAAATGTTTCTCAGGAATTTCCCTGTTCTTAAGATTGAATGTAATGTCTCCATAAATCAATATGAATCCTAATCACTGTTGATTCAACAGAGCATCAATATACAGTATGCACTTTAAATAATTAATATAATGGATACCAACTCAAAATAAAAAATTCTTTTCAACAATTCCTTCATTGATTCACAATCATTTATGATTGCATTCAGTCATCCGTTGACATGTCATCAGATCATCTGAAGACTAGGACTTTCTGTCGACGTTCTTGGCAAACTTGTCAAACGATCCATTGAAGACAGTTGTATATGCAGTCACAAGAAGGGCGTGGTTTTCTGTGAACTTTTATTTCGCCAATAACACGTAGGTGGCAGATTGACTATAGGCATATATATATATGTGCACAACAACGAAAAAGTGGTGATGGTGAATTTATTTTCCGAGTCGCTGACAGAAAGACCAGATCATGAAGATCAAGGTTTCAACGCAGGGACTCGAATCCGAGAAAAGTCCGATGGAAACTGAGCAGAAAATCGCGTTTCCGTGGAGTGGGAGAATTTTGCACGGATTTGGAAATATTTGCGGATTGTTTGTATGCAAAGGGGTTTTTCAAGGGAAACCTGTTCATTCAATCGCTTCTTTGGGCGCCGTTTTTGCCCTTTATAACCTTGCGACTGCTTTTTGGGAACTGGCCAAACCTTTTTGTGGATTGGGTGAGTTACTTCAATAAATGGATATCCATGACCTTCGATCAATCATAATTCCTTTCTCGTTTAAAAAAAGATTAATTTATTGACTTACTACAATTTCTTGCGGCTAAATGCATGGCAATAAAAAAAAAAGTTTCTGAATCTTTCTCTTGACAATTTCAAAACTGATGAATATTTTTTTCAATTGCGTATTTTCACTTTGTTCTCACTTTTCCTGCTTAGACGTAATGAATTGAATATTTTTGAAACTTTCTGAATTATGTTTTCATGCTCTTTCTTGTCAGTGTTGTATATAAGGAGTTTAACAGCCGTCACAGATCTAAATTATTGCAGGTATTTAGGGGAGAAAATTCAAATATCGTTTTACAGAAGAGATTCGGAAGTAATTTTTTTCTCGCGACAAAAGAGAGAGGTTTTTTTCATGCATAATACGAATTAGAATTACAATATTTTTCTTCTCTGAGGTGTCAAATGGATTTCGCAAGAAGATCCGAACGCAACAGCAAACTCGTTTACGGCAATTTTCGAAGTCATAAGCACAACAACCACCAACTTGTGCAGCGGTTCTTTGATCCTGCTGCAATTGTTCAAGTGGCACAAATTTTCCATGCTGATTGGAAAGAACATTGAACTTCTGCAGAGAGGGAAAGAGAAACCCAACTTTCGATTCGAATTGTTGCTTCTTATTTGCATCACGATTTTGAACGAGGTCCCGATTGCAATCCATTTCTATTTCGGGGAATCCGGGTGGATTGTAATCCAGGTTTGTTTTTGAAAATACTTCAGCAGATATTTTTTGCAACGGCATTTTTTTCGTTTTTCTCATTTGACTTTTGTGTTTAACTAAAAAAAAAGGATGTCATAATTTGCTCTGATTCGGTTGAATAGGCAGAAGCTCAGGTCTTGAAACTTGGATGTTTTATTGAGATCAACTGTCTGTTTCTTAAATAAGCGATTATAGAATCTATATTCTAGATGGATGCAACCCCAATTTCCCAATAAAATTATGGTTATATGTATTTTTAAATCCCATCAAAATTCAATTTAAAACAATAGTAGTTACCGAAATCTTAGTGTGGTTACAAAAACTTACATACATTTGCAAAAAACTTAGCAATCCTTACAGTTTTGTGAAATGTTACTGTAAATTAAGTGAGATCTGCAAATTTTCCAGCGCACTGCAATGAAAAAGGCCAAGAGCACATGCAAAGAGTGTGAGCATTTTTTTTATTTCTAACTTACCCACAAAAAAACTTTGCCATGAGACAATTTCCATAAGCTTGTTGAAAAAAATCCTGGACTATCAAATACTGCAACGAAGTCCCTAAAAATATTTGGTACCCAACCAAAAGCCCCCCTGCCAAAAGCCCCCCTAGGTCAAAAGCCCTCCCGGAAAGCCCCCCTGCCAAAACCCCCCTAGGTCAGAAGCCCCCCTGCCAAAAGCCCCCCACCCACTTTCTTTTTTTTGCAAGTTTCATAACAGTGTTTGGTGGCCCTGAGAAGGGCTGCTTGGTTTCATTAGTCCTCAAAATGACTGTTAATTAATCATCTTCAAAATTGCCTTCTGCAGCCTCTTCCTCAGTGTCACTGATGCTCTCAATGTCATTTTCTTCTCAATGTGGCCCTCTTATCGCATCTCCTTCTTCATTAGCACATTTCCAGCACCTAGTACTGGCAATTGTGCTCTTAACCACCCTGCTAAGTCATACCTCACTAACTAAAAAAGATTTTTCAAGTCCCTGTCTGGACTCCCTTATAGAAACAATGCATTGAAGACCTCCCTTACTCAAAGTATTTTACTCTAAAACCTCTGTGAGTTAAATTTTTGGAGGCCTTTTGGTTATTATTTCCTTGAAATATGACAAAAGAGAAAATCAATAAAACAAATGATTTTATGCATCTTGAAATAAAGTGAAAGACTAATTTAACAAATTAACCCCTGCCAACAAATTCAGCAAGCTGTAAACTCATTACAAAATAAGTTTAGGCCCAGAATATCCCTATCTACAATTTTCCACAATTTCTTTTTTACTTTTGCTTGCAGCAAAAATGTTTGTTTCCTTAACTCAAAACCTCCAAAAATTGAAACCTCTCAAAGTCAGAAATGCTTTAAGTTGAATTTTTTTCCATGGTACCCAGATATTTGACTTGAGAGAGGTTCAACTGTATTCACAACTGCCAAATTAATGCAACCAGGTTTTTACACAAATACAATGAACAAATACACTGGAAATCAAAGACAGTTTTTTTGCATTTAAGAAGGCTTCAACATTTTGTTGATTTCTGATTTTTTCTGTTTGACTTTATCCAAAATCAGCACATGTGTTCTTCAAAATTCCCCAGAATTCTTCATATGCTTAATTGTTTTTATATCAACTTACAAATTTCCTGAATTGTGATGACCATTCTTTGAGTGCCAAAGAAGCAGAACAATATAAATTTGTTTAAAATTTTCACAGGGAATTCATTTGTCCAAAAGGTAAGTTAATATGATACCAGGAACTTCCTTTTTCTACCTGAAAGAAACACCCTTTTCTGCCTGAAAACAACTTTCATGAGTGTTGTTCACTTGTACAAGGAAGGGCCAGTCTGCATAGTGCAAGTTTATTCCATAATCGAATGACAATGAAAGTACGGTTTTTGTGTGACAACCTTGTTCCAATCTTAAAAAAAAACAATTTTTGCCAATTGTATTCCTGTTCCACAAAAAAGGGAATAATGCACACAAAGGCGACGTTTTTCCTGAAAGCAATATTCTGTGAGAAGTTTAATTTTCCATTAGATTATTTTAGTCTGACAACGTTGGGCCTGACAATGTTGTTCCAGCCACATGCTTATTGGGCATGTTTTTTTTCAAGTGACCAGATTATTCAAAACAAACCTATATAATGCTGCTCATGCAACTCTTGTTCAAGAAACAATTTGATGCACATAAAGACTAACAAAAGCTTTGGTTTTAAATTAATGAATTCATGTTGTCTGCACTTTTTGTATTTCTGATTGGTTAGTTCATTCTGGAATACAGTATTTTTCTCTTTGGTTTAAATCAAGAAAAGGAAGAACCAGGCAAGAAAACAGATCCTTGAAAAAGATGAATCTTGGTCACCACTGCCTAATTACCCATTTAGGTAGAATAATTGCAATTTATTACTTGAAACCCCTCATTATTATTTCTGTCTCTTTTTTTAAAGAGCTTTGAATAAGGAGAATATGGCCAATAAATGACTTGCCAAGTCTTCACATTTATTTCTTAAAATCTCAGAAGCTTTTGTTGGGTCTGTTCTCCAACAACCATGACAGGAGCAAGGACCCATTGAGGTTTGTTGTTCATAGAGTCTGATTGAAAACTACAGTTGAACCTCTCTAAGTCAAACTTCAAGGGACCAGGAAAAAACTTTGACATAGGGAGGTTTCAACTTAGGGAGGGTTTAAATGATAGAGGTTTGAGCTACAATACAAAGCTATTATGTTCTGGGAAACATAGAAAAATTGCTCAAAATTGTAAATTATGATATTATGATGCTGAAATTACTTCTTGAATGAGTTTAAAGCATCCTGAACTTAGAGGCAGGGTTCATTTGCCCATTTAAATCTCTCACCTCTGTTTAAAACAAATCCATTTATGTTTTTATTGCTTTTTTCTCTCAAGTGTAGAGAAAATAAAAGCCAACAGTCCACAGAAAATTTTACTTATGGAGGTTTGAGGGGAAAAGCCTTTGACTTCTGAAGGTTCTAAATGCATTAATTCCAAGAGGATTCAGACAGTACTTGACAAATAAATTTGACCTAGGGGGGCATTTGACAGAGGGAGGTTTGACTTATTCAGATTCACCTGTATATACAGGTGGTTCCTTGCAATTTTACCATAATCCTTTGCTAAACTAGGGTCAAATTGTCAAGTGGTTGAATTGCAAGACAATTTTGTGAAATGCAAAACTATCAATACAAAAATGCAAAAAAAAAGGCTAAAGTGGATTGAATTGTGGGGCAAGGGCCACTTGTGAGTCAACCTCTCTCCAAATTTGACTGTAGAATTTAGGGACAGTCAAATTGCAAAGCTACCACATGTATATTGCACTGTATACTGATGACTGTACCTTCAGTTTTGACCTTGGCCACCAAATGTGACAATGGCCACGCAATTGCTGCATCTTCAACCTTAATTCTTTGTTAAACTAGGGTCAAATTTTCAAGTGGTTGGATTGCAAGACACTTTGTGAAATTATCAATGCAAAAAATTGTCAAACTATCAATGCAAAAAATGGCCAAAGTAGGTTGAATTGTGGGGCTAGGGTCAATTGTGAGTCAACCTCCCTCCAAATTTGACTGTAGAATTTTGTTGCAGTCAAATTGCAAAGCTACCACTTGTATATTGCACTGTATACTGATGACTGACCTTCAGTCTTGACCTTGGCCACCAAATGTGGCAATGGCCACGCAATTGCTGCATCTTCAATCCTAATCCTTTGTTAAGCTAGGGTCAAATTGTCAAGTGGTTGAATTGCAAGACACTTTGTGAAATTATCAATGCAAAAAATGGCCAAAGTAGGTTGAATTGTGGGGCTAGGGTCAATTGTGAGTCAACCTCCCTCCAAATTTGACTGTAGAATTTTGTTGCAGTCAAATTGCAAAGCTACCACTTGTATATTGCACTGTATATACTGGTGACTGTACCTTCAGTCTTGACCTTGGCCACCAGATGCGGCGATGGCCACGCAATATGCGGCTGCGGCCACGTGGCCGAGGACCTCGGCCACACCCCGCCGCACTTGAACGCCGGCGTGATCTGCACCACGTACCGTTCCCTCAACCGCAGCCGCACTTCCGTAGTGTCAGCCACCATCTTAACCATGTCCCTGTAGGCACACTTGTCGCAGGCCTGGGCCACCAGCGTCTGGAACCGAGACCGGATCTTCCGGGCACTCAGATACCCGGAAGCCGTGATGAACTCTACCCAGAGACTCATTGACCGCTTCCGGCCGTCGCTGAGCTTGAGCACGGCACATCCGGGCAGCGTGCCGTCGTCCACAAAGTTGAACACGCCCATTTGATTGAGGTAGAGCACGACTTCGAATTCCGTGGGCGAGACGACGTAGAGGCCCTCGAAATGCCCGTTGACTTCCGTGAGGCTCGAAATGAACCGGGGTTCCTGGGCCTCGACTTCCTTGAGGACGTCTTGCACAACTTTGGCCACTTCGCGCACGGTTTTGGCGATGGTGGCCTGGCGAGAGGCCACCTTTTCGCCCACGTATTTGTTCACTTGGTAGAGCATCCGGGAGTGGGCGCCCAGCATGTCGGGCGGCACCAGCATGACTTATTTGTCCCCGCCCTCTTCTCTCCCCCCGCCCCCCTTTCTTTTTATATCTCTGCAGGACGCGCCCCTCCCCACACTTCGTAAGCCCCGCCTCTTGGTATAGTTTCCCTCCCCCCGTTTTCTCCCGCACTCATTCACTCACTCCTTTCAGGCGCACGGAAGTGACTCTGCATAATAAAAAAAAATAAAGAAATGAATCATTATTCTGGATATTAGCGGGTTGTAATTATAAAGAGGGATTCTCAGTGATGATGAAAAACGCCGTTTTCTTTCCTTCTTTCATGATGGGTTATTCCAGAACTGCAGAAGAGATGGGAGCCGCAAATAACAACTTTTTAAAAATAAAGTGAGATCCCCACATGCAGACATTTCAACAAATAGGGACACTTTCAATGAAAAATCATTAAAAAGGCCCAACATATGGACACTGACTCAACATGAGGGCGTTGCATGATAAAATTGCCAACAGATTTTACAAAATTTGACTTTTATTAGGCTTGATTGCAAGAAACAGATATTCCCAACCCTGAGATCAACTCAAGAAAAATTCTTTTGTACTTTTCCCATCACTTTCCCATCCATTCAGCTGATTTAAAAAAATTACCTATAGCACAGTGAGACTTACTTCCTTCTCTCTTTGTGACTTAGATGTTATTTTCACAGATACCAACATTTCAATGAGCTGTACAGCAGTGTACTATTCAATGCTCCATTTGTTCTTATTGGGTTGAAAAGATAATCACTGAATCAAATTCAAGTAGCAAAAAAATTTTCATGGAATTCTGGGCAATATTTTTTCTATAAAAAACCAATTAAAAATTATAAAATGAAAGTCTATAAGAAAACAAGACTAGACTTGGGGACAATTCAACTTAGGGAGACTCTTGATGTACCAATTATGTCCACATCTGGTGGTCTCACTGTATCTGAATTTACACAGAAAAAAAATATCTTGTAGATATGAATCAGAGTACCAAACATTAAATTCAAAAAGTTCTGAATTTCAAACATGTTTCAGCTGCACATTAGTCTGTACATTATTGAAGTTAGAAAGAAAAGTTAATACAAAGAATATATTGATTCACATTCATTCACATAATTTGGAATTCTTTTGTGGTTTTCAATTGTATAGGCATGACAGCCATTTGTATTTGATCAGTTTGTACATAGTGAGTGGAAAAGTTGAAACTCGTTTTTGGAAGGTTTGAGGGTTTTCATGTTTGTGCAAGTTATGACTTTTGGACGCATAATGACTGTATTTACTCAAGTACCACGCTAAAAAATGGGTGCGCGTCATAAGCATCAGGTACAAATTTTTGAAGAATTTTCAGAAATTTCTATGTGCATTATACTTGATCATCATGGAGAAATTTGGAGAAAAGTGACAAGAAAACTTTTTTGTACTGAAAAAGTTGAAAATTTGGTCAGATTTTTGTTCAATTCCCATCTATAGTCAAACTTTTTGTTTCTATTTTCAAAATGTTGTGGTTTAAGATTTACTAAAAATTGGGGTGTGAGTCATACTTGGGGATAAAATTTTAGCCAAATTTCCAACTGAAAAAAGCCTGTTTGCGCCTTACTCAAGGGTGCATGGTACTTGAGTAAATATGGTATGCTCCATTTTTATTTTTTAGAAATTTGGCCGAGTTGTGAAGACTTGGGAATGCTTGAAAAACAATACTGTAATACAGTAAATACAATATCATCGTTGTGCAAGTACTGTACTCTGCTATCCAGTGTAAGACATGCGCCTGCACTTTTTTTAACATTCAAGGAAAGTTTCATACCTTTGTATGATGCGTACCCCAGTTTTCTCTTTTTTGAGTTTTTTCAGTGGGCAGAATAAATTGGAAAATTCATTGACACTTTGAAGTAGAATGCGCCAATTTAGGCTCAAATAACCTACTTTTGCTCCCTTCATAATTTTCCATTCCTCCTTTTCTTAGGGACTACTGCAATAAAAAAAACTGGCTTTAATATTGAATATTGAGCCATGAAAAATTAAGGTCAGTGTTATACTTGAGTAAATACAGTAAATTTGTGGATCTCTGAAGGCAAAGACAGTGTAGGTGGAGCCCCACAATTCAACCCTACTCTGTTGCCAGGTGAGGGTCATATTGTGAAGTGGTCATATTTGGAAGCAATGTCAAAGTCAATGTTTTCTACATCAAATTTGATATATTGAGTCTCTTTGCCAGGCAAGAGGTCAAATTGCAAGTTGACATCATAGCAAATTTTACCATAGAATTGTGGGATTGTCAAATTATGGGATGTCATATTGCAAGGTACCACCTGCATGTTTTTGTAAAAATTAGATTTAAAAAAATTGAATGTACAGTGAGTTTATATTTACCAAAGTATCTCACACACATAATTTCCAAAATAAAATTTGGCACAGAAACAGGGTGTTCATTTTACTCAAGTAGAGTATAGCTTTCTCAGAAATTTTTCAAAATTATTTTAGCCAGTGCCCTTATTTCACATTACAGATCAATCATCAATGATGAGCAAATTGAAGGCAATTGAATCATATTTTTTGTTCAAAACTGAAGTGATAATTATATCAGGTATAATTTATAAATTTTCAACATTTCCAGCAAAAATGTGGGTGCATGTCTTAGATAGGGAAATATTTTCCTACATATTGACACTTTTAAATGAATGGGCTTGACATATGCAAGCGCCTTAAAACTTAAAAGTGACTATGGTTCATTTGTATCTTCACTCAAAAATCAGGATTGAATAAAAAAAAAACAATTTTTGCACTGCAGAATTTGTTTCAGCGTGAAATATTGTAATTTTTGGTCACAAAACACGAGAGTTCATCTCATGCACAGGTTTTATCAAATTTTTTGGCTGAAATTTGACAGTGCCTGTCATAATCTAATGTTCTAGGACACATAGTACTTGTAGTAAGTGGGGTCTTGGCTTCAAAATGCCTTAGCTTAGAAACTTTTCAGCTAACAAACTTTTTTTGGCCTCAGATGCTCCAGCTAACAAACCAAGACTTGGTTTACAAACTTTGAGTTCTCAAAATGCTCATGGATCTGAAAAAAAAATTCTTCAACAAATCTTGGGATTCAATTTAAACTATTAATTCATCTAAAAATGTCTCAAAAGTTTAGTGACCAATTCTCAATCAACAATTTTTTATTCATTTTAATTGGGATAAAATTCAACAGCTTTTTTGGCATTAAATTTTCCATCCTAATTCGTTGGTTTGTGAATAAGTGTGTAGTGTTGCATTTCAAATTTTCAAGAAGAAACTTTTGGAGAAACTCACTTTAAAATTCCAGTTCTATGGATTTTTTACTGCACTGAGTTTCTTGTAGATTGTCTTGGGAAAATTTAATGAATTTTAGGCCTAAACATATTTTTTTTGGATGCATTTTTTAAAATTTCATGGGCATTTTCAAGATTTTGGAACCTATAAAAATTGTTCCTATGCTTTCCTAAGGAAAAATTTGATTTGGCTTACAAACTATTGGGCTAACAAACTTTGTTCAGGAACCAATTGAGTTTGTAAGCTGCAACCCAGATACATCCTAGCTTTGTCCTGGATATAACTGATAGAGGCAAGCACAAACCAGCCTCCTGTTTTTTTTTTTCAACAATGCACCAGTTTAAATGCAAGCACTGTACTGTACTGTATTGATCATTTAAAATTGTCCTCCAAAAAATTAAAAAGTTACCCCCATTCCATCTGCATTGTCCAGGAAGCACCTTAAAACTTTCCCCATTTAGTACAATGAATGTATCAAGGGGAGTGTCAAAATGAACTTATTTATGGAGTGAACACACCATTCAAAGCAATTGGAGAAATTGGTGGCATGGATTGCTAGCTTGAAATGATTGATTCAAGTATAAAAATTAAATGTACTGAGAAAAGCCTTTTTTCAATACATGGAATACATTTGCACCTATGTTCCTGAAGTTACAAATGAAAACTCTGACTCAAAGAAATACCCTGAATAAAAAGTTTTTTTTTAATTTTGCTGCTTATTGTCAGCAGCAAAAAGATGGAGGTAAACTTCTCAACATTAGAAAAATTGTTTCTTAATAATGATTAAATAATGATGTATTTGAACCAGGAAAAGATGAAGTGTGAAGATTATTACAAACAACACAATAAAATCACACACTGTACTTCCTTTCTTTTTAATAATTCACTAATTTTGTCTGCCACTTCTCCAAACCCTTTCCCAGATATTTTTGCAGTACCTTGGCTGAAGATGAACACTGACAGCCATTTACATTCATTGATTCCTGCGTGACACTTTTTAAATACAGTAACCCACATCACTTGAAATAAATGCGTCTTGTATTATTTTATCATCTGAGCACAAAGAAAAATTATCACAGGTGAAATCAAACTCGGAGCAGCCACAAGTTTCGCGGAAGAAGCTAGGAGGCTAACTGATGCAATCCCAGTTAATGACAGGGGAGTAACCAACAGGCTGGAATCTGTTGTTGGGAATATATCCAACCAATCACCACTCCTGGGTTGTCCTGAAGGCGGAGCTACGCGACCAATTGCCTGCCTCTCCTGAATGAAGCCACGGTCGTATGTACAAGGGCGGAAACCTGCAGCGGACTGGCAGCGTTGCCAAACTACTGGCTTGGAGCAGATGGTTTCTCCAATAAGTTTTGCCTCGGACAAGGTACTCCAAGCTTCATATAACCTTCTTGTTTGTGGACGTCTGCGTCGTATGAGAGAAGGTATTGCCAATGGGAAACGCAAAATATACAAATAAATGCAAATACATCCAACTGCACAGCACTGCATTCTCACAGTCACTTGAGTGACTTGAAACATCTAATCGATTAGGTAAATAGAGGCAACTTAATTGACCAACAGAGAGTATGAACACCCAAGTGAAATTCCGCAAAGCAGAATACTGTACTACCGTATACAGTATAGACGGGCACCCGCAAAGATCCGCTGGCTTAGGATCCGCTGCCCGCCCCGCCCCCGCCAATCAGGAACAGGGGAACAT